CTCTGACCTGTATGGTGTTTCCTGGGTCTTACCTTACCTCGAAATAGTCAGGCATTAAGTGCAACACTGTATAAGGTAACCCTACTAAGGTTTCTGAGTAGCAAGTCATTTGTGTTCAAAAAAGGAAGCAGTTACAAAAAATATTCTCTTGTCTTCTTTTTACTGTAAAGGGAAAATGGTTTAATTAAACATCTACTAAAAACATGTATGTCATGCATTCAGATATCACTCTGAGTTTTATTTCCTTCAGAGTTGAGTTGCTAGAGTAACTTTCCTTTTGTGCCTAATGTTTGTGCTTTCATTGTCCTTATTGTACATGACTGCTAGTCATTTTCTGGGTGCAGCAATGACTGATTTGTTGTTACAGACAGAACAAGTATCTGAGATTGAATTACATCCTCAGATGAATAGAGTCCCGCCACAGACAGAAGAAAGCAGCCCAACAAAAAAGGTAAGACAAGTATGTCTACCATCATTGCTGAGTGATCTGCTTTATACTCTTGACTTCTTCAACAAATCAGAGTTGTTTTAGGTTTTAAAGCAATTATACTGAGGATTAGTGTTACATTTTTACATATTTACCTTTTCTGGAGGTTTAGGATGCTAAAAGGAACTGGGCTCATAAGTGACGTTAAGGCTCAGCTAGATAAATCATTAAGAAAGCTCTCAGTATATAGACACCAATACACATGCTTCCCATTTGTTTAGAATTAGCGGGGACTTAGGACCCTTAAAGAAGTCTGGAAAAGGGATTAGTGGTATCAGGTCTTCCCTCCACTCTAACCCTTGGAAACAGTGAATATTTTGATAAATCTAATGTTAAGGATTCAGTTCTGTCTGGCCTATGATAAATACAGTAACTATTTGTTAGCAAGCAAATATTAGTATTAAAAGTGCAAAATTTCTAGGGACATGTTTATTATATATGAATTACAGGTTTTAATGTGATTACATATAAATTAACCACTGAAACTGTAGTGATGCTCTCCCACATGGCTAAAATCAGAGCCTTCCACAGTGATGAAATCCTGATTTCACTGATGTCAGTGGGTGTTTATTACTGATTTCAGTGGGGCCAGGATTTTGCCCCGTGGACTTCATGATTTCCCTGGCCTGTATTGGCTGGCTGGCTTATTTATTTTGATTTATGAAACAAGAAGCACTTTGAACATTTCAGATGCCTCTGTGATTAAAGCATGTCATATGTCTGAGCAGTGGATGCAAAGATGACTGAGTGTGTTAGTCTTTATAGGTGGTTGGAAAAGAGAGTTAGAATCACAGAAAATTAGGGTCAGAAGGGACCTCAGGAGGTCATCTAGTCCAGCCCCTGCTCTGAGCAGGACCATCCTCAACTATCTCACCCCAGCCAGGACTTTGCCTAGCCAAGTCTTAAAAACCTCCAAGGATGCAGAGTCCACCACCTCTCTGGATAACTTTTTCCAGCACTCTCCTAGTGAGAGAGTTTTTCCTTATATCTAACCTAAATTTCCTTTACTGCAACTTGAGACCATTGTTCCTTGTTTTGTCGTCTGCCACCACTGAGAACAGCCTAGCTCCATCCTTTTTGGAACCCCGCTTCAGGTAGTTGAAGGCTTCTATTAAATCCCCTCTCAGTCTTCTCTTCTCCAGATTAAATAAGCCCAGTTTCACCAGCCTCTCTTCAGAAGTCATGTGTTCCAGCCCCCTAACCATATTTTTCACCCTCCAGTGGACTCTCTCCAATTTGTCCACATCCTTTCAGTAGTGAGGGGTCCAAAACTGGACACAGTACTTCAGATGTGGCCTCAGTGCCAAATAGAGGGGAAGAATCATTTCCCTTGCCTGCTGGCAACACTCCTACTAAAGCAACTCAGTATGCCATTAGTGTTCTTTGCAACAAGGGCACAGTGTTGGTTTATATTGAGTTTATTGTCCACTGTAACCCCAGGTTCTTTTCTGCAGAGCTGCTGCTGCTTAGTCAGTCAGTCTCCAGCCTTTACATAGGATTGTTCTGTCCTAAGTGCATAACTTTGCAGTTCTCCTTATTGAACCTCTTAAGATTTATTTTGGTCAAATCCTCCAATTTGTCTAGGTTGGGTAGGTCATGTGCTGAGAGAGAGGAGTACTAAAAACACTCTCATAGACCTTCAGTAGAGTTTCTTCCCATTTCTTTTCTTGCACCATCTCCTAAAATATTTAATAATTTATTTGATGGATATGCCACCCTTTCCAACAAAGGCTCAGGGCAGGTTACATATAAGAGAACAAAGTAACCTATAAAACAGGTGAGAACCATGAGAAAAAAATGACTTCAGAGGGACTTAGCTTAAGGGAGATGACCTAAACAATAGTACACCCTGGCTCTTGTTTGATAAATGCCTACCAAAATAGGAAGGTCCTACAGTAATTCCAAAAGATGTTCAAGCCTGGGTTCTGGTGAGCCTCAAGGGAGGGAGAAACAGAGTTCATGAGCAACTTCTGAGAATGACCTCACATTTTTGCCAAGCCAACTTGGTGTAGTGATGGTACTTGCAGGAGGTTGCTCTCAGGTAGCCTTAGGACTCACGATAAGGCCTAAGAGAGAGGGTGTTTCCTTAGGTATGCAGGACTGAGACCATTTAGGGCTTAAGAGGTCAAAATCAGCACCTTGAATTGTGCCCAAAAAGTTATTGGAAGCCAGTGGAGAAGCTGGAGGACTGGAGCTATGTGCCTTGGCATCCCACCCCCGTCAGAAGATGATCCATCACATTCTGCACTAGCTGTAGCTTCCAGATAGTTTTCAAGGGCAGTGCTATGTAGAGCACATTGCAGTTGTGTGGTCTTGAGGTTATGAAGACATGGATGATGGTGGCCAGATCAGATTTTGAAAAAGAGAGTTGCAGCCTTCTCATCGGATGGAGTTGATGGAAGGCACTCCTAGCCACTGCTACCACCTGAAGAGCCAGGTGCAACAAAGGAGCACCCCAAGGCTGCAAACCTGAGTCAGAAGGGGAGACTGAACCCCATCAGTGATAGGTGACTCAATCCCCTCAAGTCCAGTGGTCTGCCTACCACCATCGCCTCTGTCTAGTCTGGATTCAGTTTCAGTTGGTTTCCCCACATCCAGCCCCCAACTACAACCAGGCACTGGGAGAGGACTGAGACTGCAGGGCCAGAAGAGAAGGAGAGATATTGCTGGGTGTCAGATCCCTGATCCACTCCCAGCTTCTCCCCATGCTCCTCTTCCTGCAGACCTCCTTTGGTTTCATTGCAGTTTTAGTGAGGAAGGGAAACATGCAATGGGTAGGAAGGGTTCCTACACTAACAGATGCACCTTTGCTGTTGGTACAACCGCTGCCATTCAGGAAACAGTTCCTTTCCTTCTACAACCACTAGCAATGCTCACGTCCCTCAAGCCTAACCCAACCCACCACTGTCCCAAAAGGTCTTAAAAGAATACTATTAAAAGAACATAATATAAAGAGCCAGCAGGCAAGTGCAGACCTGTGAGACATCCTGCTAAAGTTACCACTGGACGGGATACACGCTTTATTTTAATTATGGAATGATGTCTAGCTTGCATCTAGAAAGTCTGTCTGACCCATATCTTTAAAGAATTGATTTTCTTGACAGTAGCTTCCCTAGGAGTTTTTCTAGTTGGGTATTCTCAAAGTATCTGCCTGGGATGGTCCAGTGCCTCTATTTTTTGTTATCTAACAAGCCTCTTATCGGCTAGTTTCCAAGTTCACTTTTTGGGTAATAGTGGTGGTATTGTCTCAGCCTAAAAGAAATCACAAAGCAGCAGAACCAGTTTTGGTTCAATTTGTACCACTCAACTTTCTCTTTATTTCTGAAAACCTGGCTCTCCCCCATCACCGTCCTAAATAGGTCTCTGTTTTTTCATATATCTGGCTTTCAAGGCAAGGATTTTTTTCTGATATCTTTTGTTGTATAATTGAGAGAGCTGTTGGACAAGCTTCAAGGCATCAGGTGCCCTTCAGGTCTGAAGGAGCAGCTGGCAAAAGGCTAAGCTAAATATCAGAGAAAAAAACTCCATACAGCTGCAAACAAATAGTGCTTGGTTGGATGGAGAAGGGGCGTGAACTGGGGGTGAAGAGATATAAGACAAAAGAAGTGCATTAGAATAGGCAATCTAGTGAGACCATTCAAGACATCAGTTGTTATAACCTATGAAGTGCAGGAAATTACTGGTAGTATTAGTCAGGTTGCAATTAGCTGTAATGCCACTGTCTATATTAAGACCAGATTTTTTATTCCAGTATGGTTTTGAATTTCTGTTCCTAGGCCCGCCTTCTGAAGGTGTTTTATAAATTTCCTTTGAGCACCAGGATTGTGAGGTCAGAGAAGGAGTGTTTGTTTTGTGAAAAAATGTGTGTTTGTGTGTCTTTATCCTTCATATTTTTTCTGTAAGAGTTCATTCTGGTATGTAGTTTCTGACCAGTTTCACCCAAATATTTTCCATGGGGGCATCTGGTACACTGGATGAGATGTACCACATTCGGTGATGTGCGTGTGTAGGATCAGTGGACTCTAATGGGTTTTTTTATGAGAGGTATTCTCTGTTGTGGCATTGGAAACATGTTAATAATAAATAACAAATATGTGTCTGGCTTTAGGAATAGAACACCCCCTCAGCTTACTTGAAAATAGTGCTTTTGTCATCTGGATTTTAATTGTCCTTTGCCAGGATAGAGTAAAGAGAGAGTGTGTATTTTGCATTGCACCAGTTGATGCATGTAGTAAGAAATTCCTAAGTCATCCCTATGTGGCAGACAGCTGTCCCACCCAGCCAAGTCTGAAACCAGGAAGCTCAGTATTAATTCAGATCTGCAATCACACAAAACACACACACCCTTGTCTTGATATTAAAGGAATATGGTACTTGCACACAGACACACTCACACACACACAGGACTCATACAATTCACGTTTAAGGCATGAAGAAGGCTGGAAGACAATTAAAGGATGAAAGCAGAACACAGACAGACAACATGGAAATATAGCTAACTGAGTAAAAAAAAAAATTGCAAGGCTTTTTAAAAACAAAAACAAAAAAAATCAACAACCCGGGTTATCACTGAATTGAATTTAAAGCAATGTACAATTTGTTACAAATTCTTAGTTCAGCCTTCAGCAAATTCAGTATCCTGATTATCCAGTAACTATAATCTTTTCTTACCCTGAGTCGTCATTTTAGCATATAGTTGCACACTCTTAGTTATGGAAGGACTGACTTAATCTTTGTTTTTTTTTCCCAAAGGAGATTCTGCTTACTCAGCCACCGTCCAAACCAATCCGCAGGAAATTTCGCCCCGAAAATCAGATGTTGGAGAACCAGGAGCTTTCTCCCACTATAAGTGCAGCATCTTCCTTGTCTGCTGTCAAGTCCCACCACCCAGTCCAAAAGTAAATAGCACATCTAAAAACCAAACATACCAAGCTGCATCATGAGATGTGACTTGGCCTTTGTTTGGGTTTTTTGCCTCTCTCTCTCTCAGCTCTAGATTGCCATTTCAAATGGGGGTCAGGTCAGTTGTTAACTTCTGATGGCTGATTGGCGGTGGCCTCTTCAGAAAGCACTTGGCGATCCCACTTCTGTACCCAGTAAACATGTGGGTCACATCAGAAGACCTCCCATTTGCCTACTTCCACTGGGTGATGGAAACATTTCTAAATCACTTTGGCCTCATCACTGAAATAAGGTGACAGTTCTCTTCACTAAGGAACATTTAAAGTCCAGACACCTGGCATGCACATAGTTTTCCTGGCATTCACAATACTGAGCACTCCCACTGATAACAAATTTGCAGTTGTGGTAGATAATTAAAAAAACAAAAATAACCCATAGTTTTCTCCACTGCAGCCTCAACCATAATTTAGAAATGCAAAAATTAACTGACCCAGCCAGTCAAACTAAGAACCTCTCTGCAATCCAGGCACTATGAGTCACTTTGCTGCATCACCTGTTGCACATTGTTCATCATGGTGGTATACAACGTAGCATGGTGGTATACAAGCAGAAGTAGCAAATGTCCTTCTATTTGGTTATGTGAAAATTCATACATAGTCTTCCACACTATCAAAGAGTGGCCACTGAATGAAAAATAGTAGTCCACCAAGGGATTCTGGGACCATATTAGAAAGGCTGCATTGTAGAAACAGATTTTCAAGCCTAACAGGAGCAGCAGAAGGCTCTGCTCTCAGCCAGAAAGAGATTTTGATTATAGTATGATTATGATTTAGGGTCTACTCAGTTTGTGATTCTGTGGATTTTGTGGAAACCATATAATCTAGGATTGTCTGCGAAAGCAATTAAAAAATAAAAAAATAAAATAAAATGTTGGCTCCCCAGTGGGAGCTAGTGGTTCTCACTGCTGCTACAATCCAGCCTCGCAGCTCGCCTGGGGGGAAAAGTGCCAGCTAGTGGGGCAGCACAAAGGGTAGTAGACAAGATGGCAGCTGTTTCCTCATCCCTCCTCTCCCTGCTGGGGCCTCTGAGCCAATCAGTGCTGAGGGGTGTGCCCACTGGAGCACATCCAGGAAATAGCCACATAATTTGCTATTTATGCCACGACCAACCTGCAAAAATTGTTTAGTTTCTCTGATTCACATAGACCCCTAATTATTATATATGTTTTATGTCTACACCTGTATCCATCCAAAATGGTAGTGCCCAACCTTTTCACCACATGGGCCAGATGCGTGGTGCCTGGTCCTTGCATTGCCTGGATCTGGCTTGATGGGCCGAGTCTGGCTGGGGGGAGGTGCGCAGTCTGATCTTGGTCCATTTGCGCAGGGCAGGGGTGGGCCAGAGTGGCCCCATTTCAGACACGTGAGGAGGGGAACAAAGCAGCTCATTCTCAATCCTGATCCAGATGTACCAGGCGGGGGTGAGGCAGGGTGGCGCATGGCATGGCAAGGCGGCTCCAATCCGCACACACCCAGGGGGTGGGGTACAGGGTAGAGTGGCCCTGATCTGGATGTGCTGGGGGGAGGAGAGGCTGGGTGTATGAGAGGTAGGGAAGCTGCCTGTTCCCCTTCCTGATCCAGATGCATCGGGGGGCCTGAAGCAGCCCCAATTCAGAGGTGGGGCAGGAGGGGGAAGCAACTCAGCCCCAATCCAGACCTGCAGGTTGGCCAATTCACTCCTGATCCAGGCATGTGGGGCGGGGGGAACAGCCCAGCTTGATCTGGACATGCAGGGGATGGGTCAGCTTGACTCTGTTGCATGGGCAATGGCCCGAGTGAGGATGGATCCAGCTGCATGCAGCTTCTACTGCTGCTAAGTTTTTTGACTCATGGGGGTCTCCATGGGCCAGATGACATGGCTCCATGCGCTGGATTTGAGCACTCTTGATCCAAAAGGAAAGAATGCAACCTTATCAGTTCTGTCATAAAGTGCTTGCATTTGTCATACAGCTGCCATGAGCTCTAACAGGGCTAGAATCAACAAACTACAGATACTGAAGTTGCCAGAAGCAAATGATCTTATGTGTTCATTCCAGAAGTACATAGCTAGCACTTTCTTCAGGCCATCCTAGGAGTCATATTGTATCTTCTTATTTGCTGCTTAAGTTGCACAGATTTGTGCTGCTTGTAAATACTTTCATAGATTTCATAGCCATTAGGGCTGGAAGGGACCTC